ACATTGAATAGAAGAGGAAGACAATGTGTTAAAAGAGGGTGATGGATATACACAAGTAACAAAAAGCTATCTCAAAGAAGAGTCAAAACTCAAAAGCTGTCACTGCTGTTTTGTTTTCATCACAGTCAAGATCAAACCCATAATTGAACGACTAACAAGCAACTATATACCAGAATGTGGCTCTGAAAAAGGGATTCTGTCACACCTTCACTGCTTGGTTCCAAACTGAAGAACAAACTTCTGATATTCTCTTCTTTGTGCTCGAAAGCCAACATGGCCTCCTTGAGTTTCGCTTTTGATACTCTATTCTTTAAAGCCAACATGGCCTCCTCCAGTCTCGATGACGAGCCTTCTGTTGAAGGCACAAAAGTATCGTTTCCATATTCACAATGCTCAGAGTTAATCTTCTTAGAGCCCATCTTCTTAAGCCGGTAAAGGAATGACTCCATCTTCTTATGTATTGTGAATTTTGGAAGAACAAGTCTGCGAAACTCAGATTCTTATGACGATTAATTACCATCAACAAAACCCATTAATGTGAATGCAAGATTAGGACGATTAATTACCATGGATTCTAACCCATTAATGTTGAATCTTCTATTTAGTTTAGGCACAAAAAGCAGTTTGGTCAAACAATTCAAAATGTTTCCGCAATTGAAAATATTACATTTAAAAAAAAAATGGAAACAAAATTTCTAAAATTCTTCTGACACCAAGAAATGTAACTGGACTCGTAGAATCCACGACTGTCGCTCTAGTCGCCATTAATTGATGCATAAAAAGACAAAGAAAAAAAAGTTATCAGAAAATGAATTGCACGCTTTTAAAATTTATGGAAAGCATCTTCTTCTTCTTAAAATCTTAAATTTCTTTATCTGACAATCGATAGCCAATCATTTCTCACAATTGTACGTTTTAGTTTTTGTAAATGAATTTTATTTCAAAACAAATATCTCAAAAACAGAAGTTTATGTTTCAAAAAAAAAAAAAACAGAAGTTTATGATAATAATGAAAATAAATACATAGGCGGCTGAGGTTGAAAAGGAAAGCCCGCCTCTTGTCTGCAATCAGTAGATTTTTCCACTCACTGGGCCCGACGGCCCAACATTTCCAACTTGGTCTTTTTGACTACTTGATTACAATCACGAGAAC